GGGGGGGGGGGGGGGTGGGGGGGGGAGGGGGGGGTTGGGTTGGTGGTGTCGGCGGCGACGCCTGGTGCCCAGGCTCACAAGGTTGCGGCAGGGCGGGCGTGGGGGACCGCCAGGCGCCCGTCCCGGGTCGTACTTGAGGGGCCTTCGGAGCCGCCTCTCCCCCACACATGCACGGAAAAGAAAGGAAAGAAAGACAAGCAAAGCTCACCCGTGGTCAGGGGTGCGGTCCATGTCATGGAGGGCAGGTCCAGGACGAGGAGGTCGGCCAGCGCGCGGCGGTGTGCGTCCTCTCCGCCAAACACGTACAGGCCGGTGCCCAGCAGGCTGGCGGAGTGGCCGCCGCGCGGCGCGGGCAGCGCGCGCGCCGGCGCCTCCGGCGCGGCCTCGGCCTCGGAGTCAGAGCCCGAGGCAGCCGCGCCGCCGTCCGGCCCCCCGCGCGCCCAGGCCGTGGGCACCTCGGTCCAGGCCCCCCTGCGCGGGTCCAGCGCGCGCACGGCGAGGTGGGTCTCCGCGCGCCGCGCGCCGGCGTGCCCGCCCACCGCCAGCACGCCCGCGCCCCAGGCCAGCGCGGCGTGCCCAGCCACGGGGGGCAGCGCGGCGCCGTCGCCGTCGCCGGCCCCGGCGCCGTCCGCCGCCGGCGACGGAGCCACTGGCGCCCATGCCAGGGACTCCAGGTCCAGGGACCAGGTGTCGCCTAGGTAGCGGCCGGAGTAGGACCCGCCCAGGACGTAGGCGCGGGGCCCCAGCAGCGCCACAGCGTGCTCATAGCGCGGCGCGGGCTTGCGCGGCGCGGCGATGAACGGCGATACCCAGCTGCCCTCCACCACCACCTCCGCCACGGAGCGCGGCTTGTGCGCGGGCGGCGCGGGGGCGGCCGGCGCAGGCGGCAGCGACGCCGCGGTGGAAGCACCCGCGCCGACGGCCTCCTTCTCGTCCACCTCCGCACCCTTGTCGGCGGGCCCCTGCGCCCCGTGCTCGGCTGTGCCGTTGGGTCGGGGCCGCGCCTCGCGCTCAATGCCCTCCACCCAGCCCGGCACCTCCTCGTCCAGCGTGCGGACGTACAGGCGCATGGCCTCCATGGCGCTCAGCTCGCCCAGCTCCTTCCAGGCCTGCCACTTAGCGTTGCTGGCCGCGTTCCAGCCCCACGGCTTGGGCTGGTTGCAGGGGCCCTGTGGGAAGGTGGTGGGGGACAGGATGCAAAAGTCTAGGCGTGTTTGCATGCGTGTGCCGGAGGGCTGCACACCGTCGTCAACTCTGGCAGAACAGAGGGCTGCTCGCGAGGCGGTGTCGCGACGCGGTCCCAGGCCGAGATATGGAGGGGATTTCAGACAGTACACCACCCTGGAGTGCATGCACCATTCGACCCGTCAACAGCAACCCTCTCGGCACGAGCATGCCTCCCAGAACACTGGCACAGGCAACGACAGGGTCCCGCTCTTGCAACCAAGTCCACTCTCCCAATCGAGGCACCAACCCCCCTGCAACACTCCAACACTCCGCGCACCACGGTGGCTTGCTGGTGCAGGGCGTATAGGGCCAGCTTGATTTCGTTGGAGATGGTTGCCGAGTCTGCGCGGTCCGGAGGAGGCTGGGCTGCCTACAAGCCTCGTAAGAGTCAGCCTACCAGACCGGATCACGCCCTCTTGAGCTCCACCCACCTTCTAGTGTCGGCTGGATGTGGCTGGCCGCGACCGTGAACCGTTCTGGGTACGCCATGGTGGAGACTGGGTGTGCCATCACCTCACCGCGTTCGCCCGGCGCACACTGGGGATCCTCGGCTCCCAGTTGAATAAGGCGTGATCTGTCTTCCGCTCGTGCTCGTAATACGTCGCTCCCAGGACGACGCCTGTCACAACCAGGGTGATCTCCGCGTGACGCAGGGGTGGTTGTTGGCAACGAGTGAGCACGATCCAGTCGACGATGTACAGCCACCAATGCCACTAGCTCCCTTCTGTGTGGGTCAGTGGGCTCTGCAGCGTGAGATCCGCGCTTGTCCCCTCCCCGGCGCTCCCTCGGCCCCCGTCGAGGCGCCCGGGTGGGCACGTGGCCGTAACTGGACTGGGCTTCCACCCGGCAAGCACTCCCCCCCACCAACTGCAGGCCCTGAGAAGACTCTACCAGAGGCAATACCTAAAATGTTGACATAAAAGGACACCAGTTCATGACAAGGGTAGAAGGGAAGAAGTTCAACACCATGCGCGGGGTGCGGTGGTGGCTGAGCTGCGGGGGCGCGGGGTGCGGGCGCACCGCGGCCCGGGGCACAATATGATGCCTGCTTCCCCTCAAGGTGTCGCTCAGACGCCCCTCCGCGCCGCCCGGTCCGCCGCACGCCCGAGCGTGCGGCCTCGGTACGCTGCATCCAGGCTCTACCGTGCGGCCTGGTCCAGGCCGTCGCCGCCCTCAAGATCCAGCTCGTCCAGGAGGTCATCCATCTCCTCCTCGTTCAGGATCTCGTCGGCCAGGTCGTTGATGTCCAGGCCCGTCGCAGTGCGCTTGGAGGCCTGGGGAAAGAGGGGGGAAGGGGGGGTGAGTGCCTAAGCGCAGGGTGGAGTGCAATGCAGGACACGTCATTCACAGCCGATGCCGGCAGGCGGTGCGGGAGCAGTGCATTCTGCTTTCGCTCCTAGGCGCGGAGGGAGGAAAGGAGGCCCAAGTCATCAGGAGCGAGAGGCCTACAACCTCTCGCCCAAGCCCACCTCGTCTATCAGCGCCAGCAACTCCGTCTCGCTCCACAGCGGCTTCTGGGGCACGCCCGGCGCCAGGAGGTAGGGCGGGCAGTCCTTGACAAACCAGGGGTGCGCCGTGACCTCCTGCAGGCTCAGCCGCTGCTCGGGGATGCGTTGGAGCATCTTGCTGCGAGATGGGAGGAGGTTCGAGGGGGGCGCACAGCGTGAGGGTGGTTGAGGGAGAGGGCGTGGGGGCTGTGGGAGGACAGCTGCCACAGGTCTGTGGCCAAGCGGGCACATTGCCGCACACAATGTGCAAGTGATAAGCCTGATACATTCTCTCCTCACACCGGGGACATCCGGCTTTACCCAGAATTGCAAAAGGGCCTGGCGGCCAGGGCCTCACCTGAGCAGGTCCCGGAGCTCCGGGGAGAGCGTGTCCGGCACATCGTACTCTGCCCGCGCGATCCGGCCCAAGATCTGCCAGGAGGAAAGAGGGGGGGGGGAGGAGCTTGCTCGGGAGGGGAGCATGAACAGCGCATGCGTTGGGCAGTGAACTGCCCTGCTCCTGGGTGCAGGCTCTCGTGCCAGGCAGGGGCCGGGAGACCCAACCAGCCCCTCACACTCTCAGCGCCTGCCGGTCACTCAGATGCGGGGTGCTGCCCAGGTAGCTCCCCGCCCAGTCCACCCACTGCAGCGTCGCCACCCCCAGAACCCCCACCCCCTGCTCCTCCCTCTCTGCACCACAAAGTCACCTTCTGCACCACGTCCCGCTGCCCCGCCAGGTCCTCCGCGCGCTCGAAGGGGAACCTGCCCACCGTGAGCTTGAAGAGCGCGACACCCGCGGCCCACACGTCCACCGCCCCCCCGCCGCGCAGGCTGTTGCCCAGCACCTCCGGCGCGGTGTAGGGCAGGGACCCCAGCGCGGAGTTGGGGTCGCTGTTGATCTGCTCCGTCTTGCTGTAGGCAAAGTCCTGGACCTTGACGACGGGCGGATCCCCCGGCGCCGCGCCGGGGACGAGCAGCTTAGACTCGAGCCGCGCCTCGCGGTTGTGCGCGCCCAGCGAGTGCAGGAAGGCCAGCGCCGAGGCGGCCTGCTGGAACAGCGCGCGGGCCAGGGGCTCGGCCAGCGCGCCGCGCGCGGCCACAAGGCTTGCCAGGTCCCCCGCCCCCGCGTGCTCCAGCACGATGGCCAGGTGGGTGTCAGTGAGGAAGACGTCCAGCAGCTGCAGGATGTGGGGCTGGCCCGCGCAGCGCGCGTGGAAGACCAGCTCGCTGCGCACAAACTGGGAAACGGTGGGGCCGCGCTCCACCAGCTTCAGCACCACCAGGCGACCCGTGCTGACGCGGCGGGCCAGGAAGACCTGGCCCAGGGCGGGGCCGAACAGCTCCCGCACAGGGTCGTACTCCCTGGGAGGGTGGGCGATGGTGTGTGTGTGTGTGTGGAAAGATGGAACGTGGGGGTGGCATGTGAAAGTACACGGCCAAAGGGCTGCGCAGGGGCCAGGCACACACACACTGCACACCTGTGGCCGAAGAAGGGGCAGGCGGAGAGGTCTGCGCTGGGGCTCGGCTCCGTGAGCCCTTCCGCAGGGTCCAGGTCGGAGCTGCGGCACATGGGAGGCGGGGGGTCGGCACGGAGGGGGCCGGACCCTGCCAGTGACACCCTGGCCGCTCCGCGAGCGACTCCAGCAACCCCCTCTCACCTGCTGAGCTCCGCGCCTGCGGGCTTGGACGCCTCGCTGGTGGATGCCTTCTGCCCACCGAATCGAAAGCTTTCCCTGAACCTGTTCATGCTGCCCGGGCTCGTCGGGTGCTGGGTCGCGAGCCGGAAGCGCGGAGCAGGCAGGTGCCTAGGGGGGCAACGATGAGCTCAGATACCAGAACTTATTTCCTGGATTCCATCGAGGACCCTCCACGCCTAGCTTGAGCCGTGGCGCCGGAGCGAGGACGCCGATGATGGGGCGGGGGTGCTAGGGTGAGCACGCGATGGGCGTCTGGCGGAGGCTGGAGATAGGATCGAGACGAGCTGATTACAGCGTGATTCGATCCCGTTTCTCATGGACGTGCCATGTAGAGGCCGCAATCTGCGCAAATGGGCCTGCTGCGGCACTACAGGCCCCCCAGGTTCCTGATGACTTCAGCATTTTTGACGGCCCAGGTCAGCCGTGCATTGCCCAGGGGGAAAGGGCACACAGCATGCCTGTGACAAAGGCATCTCGCCAACATTCGCCCGTCCAGTTTGTCAGCGCAAGCTTTCAATTTAGAAATAATATACTGGATTCCAATGGTTGTCACGATGAAGCAGAGGAAGAAAAGGAGCTGAAGGCAGCGACCAGTGAATGCGCATTGCTGATGTGGAACCCTGATTGGGGTTTCTGGGACAATTTCCCTCTCGCCCAGCTAGCCATAGACCGGGGGGGCGGTGGATGGTCCGTACTGCATCTCTTCCCCCCAGTAGAATTCCTCCGGGACGTGCAGGCCCGCCGCCGCGCTGACGACCACGCCCCTCACCCGCACCTCGCGCCTGCGAGGGTGAGGAGGCGCGATTCAGCCTGATTGGCTGCACCGCCAGGCAGCTGCGTGACCTGGCTGTGACTCATTGCAGTGGAACTCCCATGCAAAACTCAGGAGGGCACGGCCATGCTGTGGGCTGGAACAAAGCCCATGGCCCCTCATCGCCACGCAAGCACACTGTTGGGTCGGAGCCCGGACAGGTCCACCACCGGACAGCCCTGCGACCACCCCCCGCCGCACCCGTTGGAGTCGGTCCTCCCTGTCGTCCTCACGCGCAGCACACATTCTGGGGAGGGTGTCACCAGGAGCAGGTCGAGGTGCTCTTGGGTCGCAAAGAGGTGTGGGATAGTGCCATTGAGGGGGATGGGGTCGCAGGAGCACCCCGAGATGCAGCTCGCCTCTGTGGCGTGAAGGGACAGGGGGGGGTTGGTGAACAGCATGCAGTGCCCCTTGCAGGCACTGCACCCACACACACACATATTTCCGCTCGGCGTCCTGGCTGCTCCCATCCAGCGCCTCCTGGATCAATCTGTCCCACCCACAAACTTCACACGGTGCCCCTCCTTGCCCTCGACCCCACTCCTCACAACCCTCACACCTGCGTTCCCGATCTTGTCGTGGCTCTTGGCCGTGAAGAGGAGCACCGCCGTGCGGTTTGACCCCGGCGCCGTCACCGAGGCGTCCACGTGAATGTCCAGGGTGGCATTGGGGTTCTGCGTCACAGCCCGCATCTCATCCCCCTTGCCCTTCCACCAGAAGCCGCCGGTGGCGTTGCGAGCCACGTCGCGTCGGAACCTCTCGCCCTGGGCGCAGTACTCGGCGGGCAGCTCCACCAAGTTCTGAGCAGGTGACAGGGGGAGAATGAGAGCCGCCGGGGGGGGTGGTCCCTGTGTGAATCGCGGAGCCGGGGCCGAACCACCAGGAACACGGTACGCACCGGGAGCATGGGGGCGGGAAGGGCGCCGTCGTCCCCTCCCAGGGTCACGTGCCGCCGGCCCAGCGCGGCGCGCGCCGCCTCCATCCTCAGGAAGTGGATGACCAGGTCTGCCACCGCACGATGCCCCTTGTTGATCAGGTGCAGGGAGTCGCCCTGCGACCGTCGACAAGGAAAATGGAAAAGTGGGAATGTCTTGGGACCCCAAACAACTCTGCAAGGGGGTGGGGACCCTCCCCCCTCCCATTGAGTACAGAACGTCACAGGGCCACGCACAAAGGCCTACTGCCTGGGCAGGTAGGGACCCTTGTATGGCCGCTGCGCTGTGACATCGGGCTGCACTCCGACGCCCCACCCTGCCTCACCATCATCACGTCCGACTTTTTGACAGCGCCGGTCTTGATGGGGTGGTACAGCATGCCGCGCATGCTGAGCCACGGCAGGTCATAGTACAGCGACAAGGTCCCCACATCGTTCTCTGGGGTGTGGTGGAACACGCCCTTGTGCCTAGCATGGTGGGGGAACGCAGTGTTGTGTGGCCCTTGGTGGGGGGGTAGGGGCAGCTGCCGTGAACTCCCTCGAGTACATCCACGGGACACTCCCCGCCAAAAGGTTGAGCAGGAGAGACCCGGCTCTGTTGCACCGACTGCAACAAGGCGCTCCGCTTGCCTGCGGCCCCGGCATGCATTGGACAGCATCGCCCCTCACACCGGTGCCCGCATCTCACTGGTGTGGATGGTAATTGAAGAGCATGACAGGGACGACCAGCGGCCGAGTGGGCAGCTGCAGCAGGCGGCGCAGCAGGCGCTCGTAGCTGCGGCGGTGGGCGTGCTCCCAGGGCACCGTCATGTCGTTGATGATGTACTCCACCTGGGGTGTTGCGATCGCGACGCCTCTGGTTGGGGCCAGGCTGTAGCTCGGGGGAGTGCCCATCGGGATGGCATTGTGCCTCGGTCCCTCCCCCAAGCACCCCTCATGCTGCCATCACCCCAAACCCAACTCACCAGCACGACGTCTGGGGCCGGGGGCAGGTGCTCGTGCATGCAGAAGGAGGCCCACTCGCTGGGGGCGGCCGGGATCGCGCCGTTCCTGAGCTCGTGCTGGGTGCCGGGGAAGGCCCTGCGCACCCAGTCGAAGACCAGGGGCGCCCAGTCGGTCTTGCCCCTCGTCGTCGCCCCGCGGCCAAAGGTCAGGCTGCCCCCCAGCACGCCCACGCTGAGCGGCCGTCCGGCCAGCAGCGGGCTCAGGGCGCGGGCGGCGGCGGCGTGCGAGCCCGCGCTCACCACCCCGCGCGCCAGGAACGCGCTGGGCAGGGAGATGTTGTGCGCAAAGGCCGCCAGGAGGGGCTCCAGGGGCTGGGGGACCCGGGGGCCGGCCATGACCCTGGCGATGCCCTCCTCGCTCATGACCACCAATTCCGGGCCGAGGGCCTGGTGTGGGGGCCCGGTCGAGGGGCAGGCTCGACCCCTGGGTCTGAGCATCAGCAGGCCGGTAGCATACACCCCGGCGGCAGTCAGGACGAGCAGGGTGAGGGCGTGGCACCTGGCCTGCGGAGTGGTCCGGAGGCCCATGCGTGCGCCGCGCAGTGCTTGCCCTCCTCGATTTGGACCGCAAGCAATGTGGTTGTGTGGCCCAAGGCGCGTCAGAGCAGGTGGAGAGGGGAATGCTCCGCCGTCTCGCTCGAGTCGAATGTGTCCCGGCCTCGGCCGGCTCAGCACGGTACACACACAAAAGGGTGAAGTCAGCAAGGGCGAGACATGGGGGAGGGTGGCACAGGGCACTTTAATGGGTTTTGTAATGCGTTTCTGGCAAGAGGAGCGCAATTGCAGGAGGAGGTCATCTCCAGCCGTACAGGGTCCCACCTCAAGGCGCTCATGGGTCTGGCGTGAGGTTCCGGATCCCACACGCTTCCACGATTTCCTTTCCACAGCAGTCTCCTCACCCACCCCGACTTTGATCTCCTTCAGTGGTCCTCACGAATTGTAATGTTCCCCTACTCTATTAAACGCAACCAGCGTGTAGTCGTGTGTGCACGTTACACCAAGAATAACAAACTTTGAATCGGACGCAAGGGGGGAGTGTTTCTCGGTCACAGCGGGGGGGGCACGGGGGAGGACTAGCGCCTGGGTGGGGTACAGGGATCACCAGCTGTGGGCACGCTGCATTCCTTACAATGCATCTGGACAGCTCAGGGTTTGGCGTGGCACCCCGCCCAGCACCGAGGCTGGGGCCAGGGGCGCCCTGTCAATCAAAAGCGGGAAGGTATCCCCTGCTGCTTAGGGCAGGGGCAGGCTCAGGGCCGACTCGGGGATCAGCACGTGGTCGATGACCTGTCGAGGGGGAGTAGTTGGGAGTCGTCGGAAGCAGGGGTTGTATAGACTTGCCCTGCACGGCCTGCTTATGGATCACCCCGGGCCCAAGCGCCCTTTACCCCCGGCAAAAACCGACCACCTCCCCCCCCTGCAACTCACGTGGACGATGGTGGCCTCAGAGGTCAGGATGTCGCCCTTGACCACCTGGGCCACGGGGAGGACGCCGCCGGTGGAGACCAGCTGGATGTTGTAGCCGAAGTAGGGGGCCTCCTTCTGCAGCACCTGGGTGCGGGAGACGGTGAGCACCTCGTCGCCGCCGAGCGCGGTCTCCAGCTCCTCGCCGTCGGAGAACTCGGCCAGGGACTGGGCGGTGGGCAGCACGTGGTAGCTCAGCACGGTGGTCACCAGCTCGGGCGCCGCCAGCAGCTCGGTGGCGCTGGTGACGTTGAGGGCGGCCAGCAGCTGTGTGTGTGGGGAAGGGGGGGGGCCCATGAGGGTAAGATCGCAGGGGGCTGGCGATTCAGATGCACCAGGACACGTGAGCGCGGGTGCTCTGATGCTGGTGGCATGGTCGAGGGATGCCACCAGACAATGGTGCACACGGCGATGCCCCAGGCAGAGGTGCATGGGGCGTAGTCCTCCTCCCTTGGCCTGGCACGTGCCCACCCTCCCACGTTCTCATACCTCGGCGAAGGCCTTGTTGGTGGGGGCGAACAGGGTAGCGCCGGAGGGCACGGTCAGGCCGACGGCCTGGGCGGCAGTGGCAAGGATGGTCAGGTCGTTGGCGGCGAGCACCTCAGCGATGCTGTCGCTGCCGACGGCCGGTGGGGAGGGGGCGCCGAAGATGCCGCCGGCCTCCTTGTTGAGGAGACCCTTGAGGCTGGGCAGCTCCCAGTGCTTCTTGCCGGTGGCGGGGGAGGCAGCGGGGGAGCGGGCGCCGGACACGGGGACGCGGGCACCGGAGGCAGGGACGCGAGCGCCCGAGACGGGGACGGCGGGGGAGGGGGCGGTCTTGGGGGAGGCCTTGCCCTTGTGCAGGATCTCGTCCAGGCTGGGCAGATCCGTTGCCACAGCGCTGCTCACTGCGGAAGAAGGGAGCGGCGGAGGGGGGCGGAGCAGGAGTGGGCAAGGGGCGAAGGGGGCGAGTGGGCTAGGGCGAGAGCATGAGCATGGCCGAGCGAGCACGCCCCCCGGGCCCTGTTGATCACGACGTACCGAGCAGGGCGCAGAGCGCCACGAAAGCCACACGACGCATCATGGCGACTTTGTAATGTATATGGAAGATAAAGGTATGAAGGTGTAAGACAGTGCAGGGGCCGGTGGGTGGGCCGAAGTGCTGGTTCAGGGTGGGAGAAAGGTTGGTTGTGAGTGCCAAGCACGGCCGCCCATGGTTTTATCACCGGACTGTCAATGACCGTGCATCGGAGTATCGAGCAAGCAACCTGCTCACACGGGCTCCCATGGCGATGCTCCGTCATGTGGGCTTCGGATGCGTGAACGAACGCTGGGAGGGCCCGACGCATGCGGGGATGCACTTCCCGCGCAGCATCGGTCCATATCTTGGGCAGTCGACGGCATGCGACGGCGCATGGAGAACAGTCCGGTCCGTGGCGTCTCGCACGGGATTGAGGGTTTTTTCGCGTGCGCAATGCCCTTGGGCGACGAGCTTGCATCTTCGGGACATCCGCAGGGGACCCTGGCGAGCCCCACTCCCCTCATAGGAACTATTCAACCACCACCCAACTGCTTCGGTTGAGTCTTGAGCCAGCCACAAGCAGTGCGGGAATTTTTAAGAAACACAGCTTGCCACAAGATGTCAACTTCGATCATTGCGAGAGATTCGACGCACAGCTTTCGAGTGTCCGCATTTGCGAACGTCTGGCGGATACATGCACTGGCTTGTCCACCAAGTACGTGCGCACCCCACCACCAGACTGGCTTGCCCCAACATCCTCAAACTCATGTGTGGGGATCGCCAATACCTTGTCAAGCTTTGCTCCGTGACCTCCAATTTGTCGCCTTGCCTAGATCTGGATAATCAGACCCACCCTCCTGAATCCTGATCTGGAGTTACAGGTCCTAAGTTTGAGTGATTGGGCAATCTGAACATCTACAGTGTGGAGAAATCGACCGTCGTCAGAGTTTGTATTCAATGGGTTTCGACACTATTCAACTGGGTCCTGTGTCTAACCGGAGAGGGCGGCGATCAGGTCATCCTGCGTAGGATGGTGGGAGTTGCGTGAGGCCGGGTCCCCTTGGATACATGCTGGGAGGTGCAACCCCCCCAATTGGTCTCCATGTCAGACAACGGGCAACACACACCTTAGAGGGAAGCTCCCACTTGTGGGTGTCAGGGGAAGGCAGAGGGGCGGGGACAGGGGCCGGAAGGGGGGTGGGCGCGACGCGCGCTCCACTGACGGGCTGCATGTGTGAGATGGAAGGTGGGAGGTGATGGAAGGAGGGATCATGCGCGACTGCTGGCAAACGCATCTCTCAGGCTTGGACTCACCACAGCACGGCTGCCGCTGACGTTCTGCGCCGACACAAGGTGGGGAGGGGAGGAGGAGTGAGCCACACCATTGGTGTCTGGGAAACCTCAACGCAAGGCCCCGGCAGGTATCCTACAAGAATCCCAGCGGAACGATGGTGTTTACCAGCATGCACGTATTAGAGCTGTTCATTAGTTCCATAACTCACCACCGGTGGCGCGACGGGGGACACAACGGGGGCCACAGCAGGGGCTACCTCCGGGGACTCCTTGTGGAAGAAGTCCTCGAGCTCCTTCTCGATCTTGTCAAATGTCTGCAACTCACGCGCGGACACAGCGACGCCTGAACGGAGGGTTTGTTTTGAGTTTAAATGAGACTTGAAGTTCCAAAACTGTGCAGGCGTGCTGTAGACTCGGTCTCAGCCCTGATCCAAGACGCCGCACCCGCAAGCCGGCACGCTTCCGCTTACCGAGTGCCAGCATGGCCAGGAGGAAGTAGGCAGTCTTCATGGCAAGTTATTTATAATTACGAGGATGGGATAAGATGATAACTGAGAAGTAGGGAAGATCGTACGCCTTTGGGGAATGTGAAAATGCAGTGTCTGCCAGGACTCAAGTACCGCCTCGAGTGGACTGCAGTCCCCGAGACAGATCGTGGGCCCCCGCCCGCTTCCCAGGCGGCCATTGGGTTGATTTCACCGGAAGAATCAACTGCAAATGCGACCCCTGGTTCGCCGCGTGGTCTGAGTCTCCAAGAATACCCAGGAAACCATGACGAGACGCAACATGGTTTCATTCATGACTTCTCCGTTTCTTCCGCCGACGATCGTTCCTGTCATCGGATCGCCCAAACAGCCGCTTGGTATTTGAGACTCGACCATGTGGCACGTTGAACGGTGGTTCGAAGCCAAACAAGCAATAGAATCCCACTCGAGGGACTAGAGTCGAGCAATATAGTCCCCAGGGAGCCACATATTCCGCGAATGCAGGGCTACTCGATCCATGAACGGCTCTCTTGTTCTGAACAGTCGAACATGTACTCTTTACGTCATCAACACAGTCGTAAGTACTCATGTAATGCCGACTTGTGCTATATAATTTTGCTGTGTGAGTATGCCTCTTGGAGCAGAGGTACTGATTGTTTCTCAACTCGGTCTTTTCATTGTCCTCCCAGATCTTTGCCTGAGGTGCATAGCAGCATGGTGTTTTTTCGTTTACAACGGTCTGTGCCCAGAGAGGATGTCTGGCATGTACAGCTTGAATCAATGTATGATGTTATGACGCTACAGCAGGTGTGGTCTGTCCTGGTCTACTCTGATATCAGAGGAGACAGTATCCAGGACCAATTTCCACTCTAGTGACCGATGGAGATCTGCAGTGATGTCAGGCATCGTGGACGTAAATTCGAGGATTGACTTCGACAAAAAAAATTTGAAAAGGCTGTATGATTGTCTGCACCCCCCAGAATCCTACCTTCTCGGCGTCAAGCTTCTTCTTGGCCTCTTCGAAATGGTTGCGCGCGCCACTGATCGCCTGAAGTGAGGAGGGCAATGAGGGTGACAGGTGGGCACTCTAGCCAGTGGCGACCAGAAAGAGGTGTTTTCAACCTAGAAGGTAGCAACGAATCCTCGCAATCCTTCACGCACCACGTCGATTGCCGCCTTGGTGTCCTGCATGTGCTTGCGTGCTCCGCTCACCGCCTGCCAAAGTGAGGGTATGGCAGTTGGTGAGAAGGAGGTCAACGCTGTCTGACCCACGAAAACAAGGCGCCGCCCTTGTTCCCGAACCGCCAACTATACACTCTGTGGTCGACTCACCACTGCCCACTTGGCCTGCGCGTCAGTGATGGCCTGTGCGATCGTCGTGCCAAACGAGGGTAAGGAAGGGATGCATGACCTGGGCTCATCTGCGAACCCATGCAGCGGCTGCCCATGACGCACAAAATTCAGGAGACATTCAACTCAAACTCACCGTCTGGGTGGCATTGTGCAGGGACTCCTTCCACTCCTCGTCGTCAGACTGCAGGGTGCGGGCGTTGGCAACGGCACCTGCGCGATGTATGCGGCGGGGCGATTATGAGGTCCCCGGGCTTATCTTTCGTAGTTTAATGACCCCTCATGTCGTTTGACATTGACTCACTGATGGCCAGCATGGCGAGGAGGACGTAGGCGAGCTTCATGGTTGGGTACGACTGGTGTGAGTGAAGGGAGTGATGGCGAAGGGAATTGATAAGACTTGTGAGTATTCCTTCGAACTTGGAAGGTATAAATCAGAGTGAATAATGACCCTCGAGCTCTCAAACAGCGGGGAATATGGTCGACTGCAACGCGGCATTCGCGTGCCGTCCTAGAATTGCCTTGGATGCGACACCCTAGCCTGGCTCCTCGACGCTGCACGGCAAGGCACGCGTCTGCACCCAGGCAACGTCAGGAATGGATCCTACAATGCCTTGTTCCTGGAAATTACGCCCTGACAAGTGCCAATCGACCGGGTTCGTGGGGATGTCGACCCTGGGGGTCTTCCCGTGCTGTCGCTTGCACCCTGTGGCGGCTCATCCAACTCCGACGCCCCGTGTCCCCGGAGGATGGCCACGCATCCCGGCTCGAGATGACAACACAAGTACCTGGAGTTTAGAAACGGGTTGCGATGCCATGCAGTCTTCTTGATGCGGTCGGCATGCATGCACGGGGAGCCCTGCGAGTGCTTTCCTCCCGGGTCCCTGGGTGGGGCATGCCCAGCGATGGGCGGGCTCGCACCCCCCATCACCGCCCCTGCTGCGCCTGGATGATCGCCGCCATGCCAGCGGGAGTCGCGTCCGGGTCCATGCCCGGAGGCAGAGCCGTCACGCCCCACGTCGGGCCCGCCCGAGGTCCTGTGGCATGGCATGAGAGGGGGTTGGCACGATGGATGAGGCACAGGACCAGCTCATGCATGCTGTGGAAGGTGGGGGTGATGGAGACGAGGACGGAGAGCGAGGATATGCAGCCACTGTGCCGCCCTTGTGACCCCCAGCCTGCCCATGCCTCACCCTGCCCGCTCAGTTCCGTCCACCCCCAGTGGCGCTGCGGCCCCAGATACTTTTCTGGGTCCAGGCTGCCCTGCCATGTGTCTGGTGGCCAGGGGAGACAGGAAGGAAAAGGGGGTGCTCACGACCAATGGCAGCAGGGTCTGAGCCTTGCCTAGCGGTCGTACCAAGCCCACCCTCGACAGCCATGCCAGCCTTCGACGCGGCCGGGCACGGACTTGCACATGTCCGCCCCACCACACCCCACCGCACTCCCACCTGCCACATTGCTGAGCCGGTGCTGGCCCGGATCCTGGCCCTCGGACGTACGTCCCCCCCGTTCCCGCAAACTCCTGGGTGAGGGCCGGGGCGCGCCGCTTGAGCAGCGAGCTCAGCGTCTGCGCCTCCGGCGGCGCGCCGCCCGGCGGCCGCGCCCCGCACGCGGAGCACGGCCGCTGGGGCAGGGGCGAGGCGGGCGCCGCCCGCCCCGCCTGCGCGGAGACTGGGCGCGCGGGCCCGCCCGCCTCGCTCTCCTCCCCGCCGGCGCACGCGCCGCAGGGCTCCCGCGCCGCGGCCGAGATGGCCGTCGCCTCCTCCTCCAGCATGGCGCGAAGGCGGGCGCAGCGCTCGCCACCCGCCGCCGACATCCCGCCGGGCTCGATGCTGGACAGCTCCTCCTCCAGCAACGCCAGGACCCTGAAAGGGGGGAAGGGGGGTTTGGGAAAGAAGGGGCATGGGGCTGCCTAGGTCTGCCGCTTGAGGGAGTCGAAGACGGCGGGTGGCCCACGGTCGGGGGCACAAGGCTTCGCAGCTCGAGCTCTGGATGCGCATGGTCGAAGCAGCCAGGTGCACGCCCTACCGTTTACAGACATGCGCGCCGGGCAGGCGTCGGCCCCAGCCGCTGCGCCGGCATAATCCTCCCCCTACCAAGCCATGCACACGCACCTGCCCGGGTACGCGTCATGCCAGGGGCTGGGCCCCTGGCCAATGATCCTGGCGGCGCCGTGCCTGCAGGTGGTGGCCTCCTCCGCCTGGCCCTCCTCGGCCATGGCCACATCTGCGGGGCCGGGCGTCATGACGGCATGCGTCACCACGCCCTGAAATGAACCCAATGCGCGCATGCGGCCCCCAAAATGCACCCAATGACCACCCTGCCTACCGCCGTCCTCCTCATCGTCGTCCCCGGCAAAGAACTCGTGCGCCAGGGCCTCCTCGGCGCTGCAGCGCCGCGCGGGGTCGAACGCGAGCATGCGGGCCAGCAGGTCTATGGCGCACTCCCCCGCGTCGGCAAACCTGGGGTGTCGTCGTGGGGGGGGGGGGGGGGGACATGGAACTAGGCTCTGGAGCGCGCGCGTCGTGGCGACACGAGGGATTCACTGCATGTGCTTCGAATCGCCGCGCAGCCCAGTCAGCGTAGGGTGGGGACCCCGAGAGGGGACTCGTACACCGACCCCTGGTCTCTTCGGCCCCAGGCCCCTGCAAGGGAGGCTGCTCCGGCACCCCCACTCTATCCCGTCCTGCGCACCTCCTGTACAAGGAGGGCGCCTTGCCCGGCAGGTTGGCCAGGTAGCGCCGCCAGGCTGGGCTCTGCACCTTGTCCACGTCCGCCCAGGAGGGCGTGCCGATGACGTCAAACAGGGCCTGCAGCTCGCGGCGCGTGACGCCGCAGCTGACGGACCCCGGCTCGGCGAAGCGGTCGCCCTCGTCGGGCGTGCGCGGCATGCCATGGATGGCAAAGAGGGGGGCCACCTGGAGGGCGGGCGTGGCCGCGCCGCCCACATGGGAGATGCGCTGCAGGAGCTCGCCGAAGATGCAGCCCATGCTCCACATGTCGATGGCGGAGGAGTACCCGCCCCGCGACATCACCACCTCCGGCGCCCTGAGTGCGCGGCGGCAGGTGAGGGTGGCTTGGTTCGGCTGGCGTCGGAGGGAAGGGCTGTGCATGTAAAAGGGCCGGCACCCGTCCCCATAGGATTGCAAAGGACCTCCGCACACCCCTTGATCTTTCTGCTCGGTCACGTGGCGCCCCAACACTCACGCAGACGGGGCTGCAGTCGAAGGCTATGAAACACAGGACCCCCCAGCTCTCTCACATGTCACTCGCAGCCCATCCGCTCTCTGACCAAAACCCCTCACCCCCACCCCCCCCGGGGAGCGCCACCTGTAGCACGGGGTGGCGACCACGCGGGTGAGCGGCGCCTTGAACCCGCTCCGCGCTGCGGCGCCCCCGCCGCCGGCCGCACCGGGCTCCGGGGTACTGGTCTGGTACTGCACGTACAGGTCCTCCGCCTGCACGCCCTCCTGCATCCGCCTGAAGGAGGAGGAGGGGTGCAGGGGCGAGGCAAGGGACTCCTGGGCGTCTATCGCGGCTGGCTGGGCGAGCGACCTCGCGGGTGCCTGCTAGGAGACCAGGGACATGATCGAAAAGGGGGGGGGGGAGGGGGGGGGGTAAAATGAGCGAAACCATTCCCAGGTGACCAGACGGCGCCAGCCCTTGCACCTCCACGTGGACGCACAGCATATGCTGATGGGCCTCATGCGAGCACTGCACCAACCTGCCAACCCAGCACATACAAGCTGGATGGGCTGCAACTGGTGGCTGGGAGCCTGCTCCGCCCAGTGGTAGCCCTCGGGGATGGCGGACCGCGCCGACCCAAAGTCACCGACCTGCCGGTGTGGGTGTGTGAGTGTGTGGGGTGTTGGGAGTCAGACACAGGGGCGCAGTTTGCCAAGCAGGGGTCCTCCTCGAACCCAGACACAGCCTCCCACGACCAGCACCTCCCCGGCTCGCCTTTGGCACACGCTTGCCCGTGACGGGGTGCCGCGTGAGAAAAACGTTCTGGCTCTTCACGTCGCGGTGCCAGACGTGCATAGAGTGCACGTAGCGCAGGCACTGCAGCATCTGGCGCATCAGCGACCGCACCTCCTCGCCTGTGGAGGGGGCCGGTGGGGGGGGGAGCGCTGCTCAGCCTGTGCCAGCGGGGCTGCAAAGCACCGCGCCGAGCCCCTCCCTGCCCGCCATCTGGCGCGTTTCACGGCCCCCTCTCCAGAAACAACAGGCCAAACCCCCCTTGACCCGGCCACTCACCCGACAGCTGGCCCCGCAGGTGAAAGAGGTCGCCGCACTCTGCATACTCCATGGCGATGTACATGTCCACCGACAGGCTGACAAGCTTGCCGCCCACCAGGCGGCATTGCCCCGTGGCGGCGGGCCTGAGGAAGCAGTCGCGCAGGCCCACCAGGTTGGGGTGGCGCAGGCGCCGCAGGATGGACACCTCCCGCAGCACACGCTTGGCCTGGTCGGGGGACTGCAGCACGTCCCCGATCCACTTCAGGGCCACCTGGGAGGGTCATGTTGGAGGACAGGAGGCTGGCCAGGCGATACCACTGCTGGGGGGGAGGCCCGATCAGCGCCCTGGATAATGAATTCTCTTTCAGCCTGGCTCCATGCACCATCAATTCATTCCCACCTTCTCGCCGGTCTGGGTGTCCGTGGCCAGGCACACGCACGAGAAGGAGCCGTAGCCGAGGACCTTCTCCAAGCGGTACCTCGTGCCAACCTGCGGGCATGGCATGGACTCCTGGATATCGGGGCATGCGAGGAGGCTGCACAGCACCACGGCATCCGCATCCAGAGCGATGCCGGTGCTGCCTCCACGGCGCACACCTGCCACTGCTGACTGCCGATGCTCTGCAGCGTGGTGCCGGGCTCGGGGGAAACAAAGTAGAGGCCAGGTTCATAGGGGGACGCGCGAATGGACTCCGACATGGCATAGGGAGCACTGCACAGATGTGTACAAGGACGAGCACGGATTCTCCGGCTGCGTGTCAACGACAGAGAGTGCTTCCCCAGCGTCGCATAGGTCCTGATACAGTAAATGCGCAGGTTTTCATAATATTTATCAGAGGTTAGTTGTGGCGTTGGCGTGCTTTCTGTGGTCCTGGAATATATGAAGGATCCCGAGGGGCCCAGGGTGCCCGATCGGGATCCCGACTCCGATACTATTTTGGGGGAGGAGCCAAGTTTGTACTTCATTATTCAGCATACCACTCAACTCCCCCACTCTGGTTGCCCATAGCCAACACCTGATACTCACACGATAGTATTTGTCCTCGAGAATATATTGGACGTCAGGGAGTCGAGTTCTTCAACAAGGCAGCGCAAAGTCATTTCCTTTTATAATTGTGGCAGACTGAATTACCAGCTTCTTGAAAGAGCTCTGTGTTTGATGTCCCCTATCTTCAGCATGAGGAATATGCTAAACAGGCGAGGGAGAAAGGGACCCCCCCAAGGTCATCAGTAAGGATTCTTGGTCTGGACAGTCTGATTAGCGAACTGAGAGCGCCCGCAACCAATTCTCATGATAAAGCATTTCATTTATCATTTGTGTTGTGAAGTTCCTTAAGATACTGTTTCCAAAGCCTTGCCGGCCCATGCAATGTAAGATGTGTTAACATTTGGCGGAACCGAGATTCCTGGGCAGGAAGTGATTAATCCGGTCCGTTCTTTGTCGCGTTTTCCATCCCGAAGTAATAAAAGTAGTAACCTCAGAATAAATTGAGCGCATCGATATCACAACGCCGTGCAAGGCGGACTTTTCCCATCTCTGTGCCCCGGGAAGTCTCCCTTGAAACCTCGTGCACCTAGACTGCAGGACAACTTTGTGCTTGCCGGGACGCCACGATGATTCCAAGGAAGACGCAGTAGCCTAACAACCATGTCATCGGCTCTGACACAGGCCCTGCGGGCGTTGCGCGTCGCAGCGCCCGGAAGGGAGGTGTCTCAGGATACGGACTCTCCCTTCGCGCGTGGCCCCTCGCCAGCCCCCCACAATCCCAGGGCACCAGCCTCGCCGACATGCATGGCACCGGACTGTCGTCGGAACTCATCGACGAACGATGAGGGGTGAGGTAGGGTATGGCAGTAGGAGTTCCGGGAGGGGTGCGTGAATTGGCAGTAGGGGGAAAGTAGCGTACATCACATTCCCATCCTCCCCTATCGATATGGCACATGCAGGGTCACTGTGTCCCCGTCCCTCGAGGATGTCTCCATCCCCCCAAGCTTCCTCTGCCCTGTGTCCATGGAAATAATGGTGAGGCATGGGAGGGCAGAGGTCAGCTAGCCAGTTTTGGCTGTGCAGAGACAGGTATGCCCCATGCATGTACCATCCTGGCTGACCTCCTTCCGGACCCCCTGGCCCACGCTTTCCCCCAGTCTGATCCCGTGATCCTGGCCACTGGACACACGTATGACCGGCCCTCCATCCAGAGGTGGCTCGACAGTGGGCACAAGACCTGCCCCGTCACAGGCACCCGCCTGCGCCACATGGAGCTCACCCCGAACTTTGCGCTGCGCAGCACCATAGCAGTGCGTCAGTGTTGCTGGAGGCGTTGGGTGGATGAGGGATGTTCATGTCTTGCAGCGCAATGATGCTGCTGGGGACGGGATGTGGGGGCCGATCCCGTGGTGCACACCAGCCGGGGCTGGCCGGCCTGTTGGATGAATGCATCCCCAACCCTTCCCTTCCAGGACTGGGCCGCGGAGAACGGCATTGACCTGCAGCGCACGCGGCCGAGCGAGCCAGCAGCAGCGCCCGCGGAGCCCCCCCGCCAGGCGCCCCAGCAAGCCGCAGGGCGCCAGTCTGCCAACATCCTGCACGTGCGCTCGCGGCATGCACCTCAGACTGCTGGGCTGGGGGGAGTGCATGGTGAATTGTGACGCAGGGGCTGCATTGGCTGGCCTGCGGTGTCCATCAGTCCTGTGCAGCGCCAAGCGGGACCCCCAGTGTTTGGGCCCACGCGGCACAGGCCCTTGGGAGGCAACTTCCGCCGCAACGCCTCGCTGCGCGCCGCTCCCAGCACTGCCCGCGTCCCTGGCCCCCCCATGCTCGCCTGCCTGCATCGTCAGAACCCCCCCTCCCTTCTTCCCCCCTCCCCCCTCAAAGTGCCTGGGCTCGCTGGAGGGGCACACCGGCGCGGTGCGCGCGCTGGCCACCGACGGCGCCCGCGTCTTCTCCGGCTCCGACGATGCCAGCATCCGGGTGTGGGACGCGCGCAGCCTGGCCTGCCTGGCCACGCTGTGCGGCCACGCCGACAACGTGCGCGTGCTGGCGGTGGGTGGCGGCCTGCTCTGCTCCGGGTCCTGGGACCGCACCGTGAGGGTGTGGAGCGTGGACCACCTCACCTGCCTGCAGGTGCGTGTGAGGGGTGGTTGTTTGGGAGGGAAGTTTGG